CGGAGAGGCCTGGGGAGATGCTGCTGCTGTCGGAGAGGCCTGGGGAGTTGCTGCTGCTGTCGGAGAGGCCTGTGGCTCTGCAGCAGACGATGGAGAGGCCTGTGGCTCTGCAGCAGACGACGGAGAGGCCTGTGGCTCTGCAGCAGACGACGGAGAGGCCTGTGGCTCTGCAGCAGACGACGAAGAGGCCTGTGGCTCTGCAGCAGACGACATGGAGGACCATGGAGGCGAATCCTCAGTGGTAGTGGAGAGCGCCGACCCCTCTGGAGACTTGGAGAGCGCCGACCCCTCTGGAGACTTGGAGAGCGCCGACCCCTCTGGAGACTTGGAGAGGTGAGGAGCGTCTGTCGGGACCCCCTCGGAATAAAAGAGATGAGGAGCGTCTGCCGGGACCCCCTCGGAATAGGAGAGATGAGGAGCGTCTGCCGGGACCCCCTCGGAATAGGAGAGCTGAGGAGCGTCTGCCGGGACCCCCTCGGAATAGGAGAGCTGAGGAGCGTCTGCCGGGACCCCCTCGGAATAGGAGAGCTGAGGACCCCCCACAGGGGCTGCGTGCAGCGTGGAGTCCACCTCAGGGATGGCTGAAACAGGAGTCTTTAGAGTCTGTAACTCAGTTAATAAAAAATCATATTCGGGGAGCAAAGAAAGACCAGGGATAGAATAGTAAAAAATCCTCCATCTGGGACAAAACGAAATCAAAGGAGGACGGGTTTCTTTTAGCTGAATTAAATAGTTCAAGAATGGTTTGATTTATATGAAAAATATCTTCAGGGGAAAATGAATGAAAAAAGGGAATGTCTGTATGAGTGGGTGTGGTGACAGGTGCCGCCCCCACCGGAAACCTGAAAGGTGAGGCGGCGGGACACGCCCCCACGGAGTCACAAGGAAAACTCTCCAGAGGTACGGCCAGGCTGGGTCGAACAGCCGCGGCGCGGAGTGGCGGTGAGAGGCCGGATTCCGCCCCCACCAGGAACCTGGAAGGTGAGGCGACGGAACCCGCCCCTGTAACGTCAACCGGACCGGACTCACCGAACCGAACAGGAGTGGACCGGAGCTCCCGCGCGACGCTGGATCTCGCCCCCACCGGAAACCTGGGAGGTGAGGCGGCGGACCCCGCTCCCACGAAAACACCGGAACCAGCTCTAAAGTTTTGCGCGGCCGACGAGACCGGGCCGGTCGCCGCAGACTGCCTCCGGAACTGTCTTCTGCCACTGCGGCGGCGGTGGGACGGCGGAAGGACAGAGACGGAGAGGAGCTTGTCCATAATGGCACGAGGAGGAAAAAGAAAAAAGGTGAGTGCTGCCGAGTGAGAACCCTGCCCGCTGGGATCTGTTCTGGTCGGGTCGTACTGTCAGGATTTGTGTCAGGAGCGAACCCAGAGTGCAGAACAGGGACTCAACTCGGCAGAAATACAAAAATAGGATTTTAATGATAAACGAAAAGTACAAAATAAACAAGCTGACGGGGCAGCAAAACTTACATGAACATAGGAAGGAGGCACGGGGAACTCAGGAGACACGAGAGACACAGGAAACTCGAGGAACCAGGAAGACTCAGGGAAAGACTCAGGAGACCCAACGAAGAGTACCCAACGAAGACGACCCAACGAAGAACAAGACAGAATAGGCGGCTTATATGTAGAGACAAGACGAGACATAATTGCAGACAGCTGGGATGAGACACAGGTGGCACTAATGGAACTAATGAGGGAGCACAAGGGAAACAGACACAAACCGGGCCACAGAAAAGTACCATCCTTACATTATGCTTCTCTGAAACAAAACTTGCATCGTGGTTTTAAAGTTGTATGAATCAACTATAAAAGAAGAGTCTTGCATCAATGTTCTTCTATTTTGTTAATTTAAATCTAAGAAGCATTTACCTTGATGTTCTCAAAAGGGTCTGTGCTTTTGTTGGCACATTGCTGTGTTGTTTAATTAGTAATAATAAAAAAAAGATGTTGCCTGTTACCAGCACGTGTGAATCAGTGGACTGTGTCACCTCATGTTACTTTTTTCTGTACGTGTTTTTTGTATTTTGTTTTTGTCTTCGTGGCATATTTGTTTCCACACTTGACATAATAATAGCTGATGGTATTTGTTGTCTGCTACACTGAGCTGAGGTCACGCAGCGTAAATGCCCCAGACCAAAACTATTGTTACGTTTGGCTTCCAGTGCCAAGGTAATATCCTGTCTGCCATCTCACAATAGCCCCACAGTCAACTCATGATCAAACAGAGATGAGGGTTCACAGTCACATCATGGCCCACAACCCAGTTTTGTTAACATTTGTTTCCATAAAACAGTCAAAATGAGGTTTTTTGTTTTTTTTACTCATGCCTTTTCTTAACTCCTTATTTTGTAGTGCAACAAGTCATGAACTTGCATGTTGAACTCCCTGAACATTTTAGTGTTGCTGTGTTTTCCCGCAGCTCCACAATAACCTGCCATTATCTCCGTCTGCAGGTGCGCTTTGTTCAGAATGTCACTGCGTGGAGAGAGATGAAACCTGGCTTTTACCACGGCCACGTAGCTTATCTGGACTTTTCAAAGTAAGGCCCTTCATTTCCTGTAATACCATTAATATCCAGATTAGTTGCACACAGTTAGCCGAGCAGATAAAGGAAGGTCAGGTATTGATTGCCAGCTTGTGCGTTAGTGTTGATTAATAGCATTGTTGTCCTTATCTCCTTTGACACTATCGTCCCAGTGATCACGGGTAATTATTCTAATGGTGTAAGTGTTTCTCATAGAGAGGGAGCTCCTACTTGCTTGTTTATCCTTGATCCTTCCGCCTGCTTCATGGAGAAGCTGCTTTTAGAGTAAAGTTAATGTCCTGTAATTCACTGCTGAAGATGTCAGCATCAACCTGCAACTGAGACTTCATTTCATCATAAAAATGATCATTTACAGAAGTGTTTGCTATATTGTGTTTTTATTTAGATATGGAGTGAAGGGTAAGCCAATGTACATAAATGTTGTGCGGGATCCCATAGAGCGCCTTGTGTCCTACTACTACTTCCTGCGTTTTGGAGACGACTACAGACCGGGCCTCCGACGAAGAAAACAGGGAGACAAGAAGGTTTGTCATCTGAACTTAGAGTGCATTCACACCAGCCCTGTTTAGTCCGCTTTAATCTAACTTTAGTCCATTTGGCTAGAAAGTCTGGTTTGTCTGGGGAGGTGTGAATGTGCAATCGAACTCTGATGCGGACCAAAAAAGTGAACTCTGGTCCACCTAAATACCTAGGTCTCAGTTCGGTTGAAGTGAACTTTAGTGCAGTTTATCTAAAAAAGTTAAATCTGGTCCTCTGGACATTCAAAAAAAAAA